AAACAGCTACAACTACACTGCGAACAATCAGAAATCTAAGAGACTTTCAGACTTTTGAGCCTCATTGAAAATGAGGTGAAAGTCTCACTGAAAGTGAACAGGATTTAGGCACTTAGACTAAGTCACTTCTGAAAATCTTAGGCTCCTAGGTCAGTTAGTTGCTTTCGAAAATGTTACCTATAGTTTCTAATGGATTTGTTACAGTTAAAATGACCTACGGCTTCTTAGTGTTGTATACTGCCATCTAGTGTAGAATGTATTTATGTTCCAAGTATCTGACAGATTTAGAACATGAAAATTCTATCTTTTTTAAAGCAAAATGTTTTCATACAAATAGCAGTCAGCATGTTTCTATATTGTTTGAAAAAGAGGGGAAAACAAGACTATATTCACCTGAACAAAATCATTCCAGTCTCAGAAATTTAAGACCAGAGGGCACTTACAAACACGAAAGTTGCAGAAGACCTGAATTGCATGTGCACAAGTAAAAATCCAACCTGGATTTTTTTATTCTATTTATTAAATATTCAGTATACGTTATTTATTATGAAGATTTTAATAGATATACCAATTGGAACGTTACAAGTTTAGCAGCTCTCCATGTTAAAACGCTATAAAATAACCACCAAAAGCTATTGTTAGTGATTAAGAAGCATAGCTTTGATCTTCCTAATTTCTCTTTTTAGAGCTTATTTCAAATTTAAAGATTTCATTGTTTTATCCCAATTTGCTACCTCTACATTTGTACCATATTCCTTTGTTTTAGTGTTCAATCACTGGAGCCTATCATCTTTGAATGATAACCCCTAACCCCTCTGAAGCTGAAATACAAGCTGTTGTACACGTCTTAAAGAAAGCTTGCTCAATGATCAGTGTGAATGACAACTTTTCCCACACAGGGAATGTTCTTATTATCGCTGCCAATTTGCACAACTAGGCTGTGTCATGTGACAATCCTACAGCAGCCTCACTAGTTGTCTGTCATGACAGTTCGTGACAAAGAAGTTCCATAAATAGTATATCTGAAATAATAATAATAATAAAATCAGTTTATCTTTACAAGGCAATCAAGTTACTTTGATTATAGACAAAAAGGTATTCTTTCCACACAATCCCCACTGTTTATAATTTCTATTTGACAATCTAAGACGTTCCCTTGAACTGATACCTAAAAAGGATCACTAACTGTATTGGATTGCAATTATCATAAACATCAAGTGTCACAGTTCAATTTTTGAGGCCAGATGCTGTTCCCTTTTCCAATAGTGTATACTGGTCTGACTCCATTAAAATTAGTGGAGAATATTTACACCATTATAGTGGTGAAAATTTCACTCTGGGCCTGATTCCCCAATTCGAGATACTTTGGGTAGCCATTTACACATGTCCTAAGTGAGAATAAAAACACTACCAAACCAGAGTGAAAGTGCCTTTATGTCCACATTGCACAACACTAAAATTCTGATTTGTTAGTGTTTTACTTCTGTGCAAACTGAGTGTAAATAACTATACATGGTGCAAGCCAAAAATCAGGCCCTACATATTTATCCTCCTCCCCTAACTTAATGTGAATTGAGCTTTTCAAAGACATTTTTATAAAGAAAACACACACCTTACCTATAAGCTTAGAACATGCTTTAGGTACCACTATACAGCTAGAACTGCTGTTTATAACCACAGAAAAGTTGCATGAAACCTTAGCATAAGCTGTATACAGTGAAAGCTTATTTATATGTAACATAATCGGTATACAGTAAAATCTCATTTCCTACAAGAGTTTCTCCCTATTAATCATACTGTATCATATGACCACCTCTTACCATGACCAGAAAAACTGAAGTTAAGCAACTGTTATTAACAAATTCCACTATACTTGTCAAATTAGCATCTTCACTGTAAGTGACAGATTTACTGCAACGGCAGATACACACAGGAGCAATGGGATAAGAAGACTGGTGAAATTATGACAGTACGTACAAACATATAGGAACACTTTCTTTTTCAAGAGAAAAACCTGTTAAAGTAGTTCTGCTCCCCATTCAGACAAGACATGAGATCATTTTACTATTTTGATTTCTTCACCTTTAAATATCTGCAGGATGCTTTCTAGATTCTATAGGATTCTCAGTGAGCACATCCACCTCTGTGCATGCATTATATAGGTCTAATAATATGGGAAATGCCTTAAAAGTATGTTTAAAGGGTAAAAATTATCCACCAAGGATACAAAATGATGTTTTTTAAGAAGTGTTACTGCACAACAGCATATGATCATGCAATACTGATTCAGCCAGTCACAGAAATGAACCTCAAATTATATCATGCATTTAATATTATAACATGCCAGTTACACAGCTATAGTTAATGCTGTCTGTGAGTTCTCATTAAAAAAATCCTTTCCAGTGGTAAAAATATGTGAAACTTAGAAACGTCTATGGGCAATAGTCACTAGAGGGTAAGGGGGAAAAGGTTTAGTACTGCAGACTGATTCATGAGGCCTATTTAAAATTTTAGGCTTGACTGTCTTTTCACTTTCACCTGTGTAAATCAGGATTAACTCAATTTAACAATGGAGTTACACCAGCGTAAGTGAGAGGACCTTCTGGACTCTTCTCTTTACATATAAAGGCATATGTCTAACTAAATTTGGCTTATAAAGCAATTTTTGTACAAACAGTTTTTATGAAAACTAAGACAAATAGAAGTAATTCTACTTTTAAAAAGAAAATCTGTGCAACTAGTTGCATTGTATATGGGTATTTAACTTCTTGTTTGTGAATTCATACAATTTCTAGCTACCGTAGTTATAAAATTCAAGTGAAGTAACGGAACCCCCCCATCACTGGAATAATTTAAAACTGGACTGGGCAAACCATTTGAGAATATACTAGCAGGAGAGGGACAAGAGAAGACTTATACAAGTTCTCCATCTCTAATTTATATGACAAAATAGTTTCTCATAACCTCTGCTCAACAGTCAGCTGAGAAATGAAGTTCCCAAGTGCACTGAGTGGAGTTCACAGTTCTTTGCTCTCTCAATATTGCCATCTTGGATTTTGTGTCAGAACAAAATAAATTAAAATCTCTTATCAATGTGAAGATATTTCTGAGCTAAATTCTGACCAGACTTAAACACTGTACAACCTCCTCTAACACTGATAGGACTGCCTGGCTGACCAGGGCCAATTCCTGCTCACCTTACTCTCATGACTAGTTCCTTAATTTCAGTGGGACTGTTTGTGTGAATAAGGCAAGCAGGATTTGGTCCTGCATAGGTAACTCCAAACAATACTATAAGGAATTGTGTGCATAAAATCCCATACAATTTCCTGAATTAGAGGATAGAACGCAACGTCTCAAGTAGAACCTGTCAGATTTAAGACAAATCAGTAGGAGACATGAACTGCCCTTCCAAACAAACACTAACAACAATTTAAGATTTTTTATGCTTCTGTATTTCAGCCAACACTTCATTTTAAAAAAAAATTGGCTAGTAATTAATCGATAAAATGGATTAGTGTTTTGATATTAAAGTGATATTGCCAATATTTGTCATTTAGACTTAAGTACGTATCACATCAATTTTTGAAACAAAGACCTCTGAAACACAGATGTGGTGTGCACTATAAATATTAGCCTAGATTTTAATATGGTTTGTACCAACCTGATTTGCCAGCATAAATATTTTCCAGACAAGAAAGATGGAAGGATAAATACATGTTAGATGAAAACATGATTTAATAAACTTTCATGAAAATGTTTTCAATTTCTTTAACTTTAAAGTCACTATACTTAAATTAATATTTAATATAAATCAGTAAGCTGAGAAGTTCATACATAACAAAGGTATCTTACATTCACATTATTTTATAATTTGTGCCTCAGTTTGTGGGAGGAGAAGCGGTATAAGGACTAAGTCTCACCATTATAGGTCACAGCTGTCTTTAACTTATTTATATATAGTGTTTCAGCTTTTGATGTCTACTGCACCGGAACATATGCTGATTAACACCTAACTGTTTGTAACATGGAGATGGGATCCTCTGTTACCCGTCTAAAAAAAATCAAACCACTAGGAGGACTCCTCTATTCCCAACATAACCAGTTAGGTATCAGACTTTCAAATGTCAGGAACAAAATATTTTAAATCACTCATTTAAATCCACTAATCATGGCATTTTTTTTAATAACTGCCACAATTTAAAGGAGCACGTTTTGCAACTGCTGAAGAGATGGTAAGAAAAATGTGTAACCTGAAATTAGCTGATGAAATGCATCCGGTACCACCACAGAGATTAGAACGTTCAAAACCCGCATTAAAAGTGAGAGGAACCCCCAGCGGCTTTTGCTAATAAGTTATACGTAGCAGCAGCATCCTGCAAACTAGGCTCATCCTCAGCACTAAATCGGTCTCCCTTTCCCCGGCAACCGCCTTGTTTGGTACCCAGCCGCAAATCTCCTCAGCAGCCGGGGGCAGAAAGGAGAAGCACCCACCTATCGCCACCCATCCACCCCCTGGCTCTAGCCCCAACGGGGAGAGAAAGAAAGGGTGACAATAAAGAAGAGGGGGGCAGATCCCCCAGCATTAACCGCACCTCGTGAGTGGGCAAGAGCAGGCACGAGTGGGCAGAAGGGAGCAGCAACCTCCACCTACGCGGGGGGAAAGGGGAGCGCAGCAGCTGCCCAGAGCCCCGTGCTTGCTCTCTCTGACCCAAGCAGTTGCAAGCCCCTAACTAAGAAACTCCCCAGAGCCGAGCCAGCGGCGGCTGTGGGGCTTTGGTGGGCGGGGGAAGGTGAGATGCCCAGCCCGGAAGGAAGGCTTTGCAAAGCTCCTGGCTGGGGCACCTTCCAGGCTCTGCTTTTCAGTTAGGACCGGAACATTGAGAAACTTGATTGGGGCGGGAGACGGAGGCTTCACCTGAAGTGCCCCCCTACAGCCCCTGCTTCCCTCCCTACGCAGCCAGAGACCCCGAGCCCCGGCCAGTCTGCGCGGTCATTACCTGGCTCGGAGCAGGGAGCCGGCCGCGCAGAGAGACTCGAGCCGCCTGTCACTCAGCAGCTGGGTAACCTGCTATTTATAGTCCGGAGCCTCCGGCCCAGACCGCGAGAGGAAGCCAGGAGCTGTGGCGCTGCTGGGCAGCGAGACCCGGCCACCCTCTGCCCGCAGCCGCGGCGAGAAGTTGCAGCGTTCGCCTTCCTCCAGGCGCGTCTGCTCCCAATGTCCGCGCAGCCCGTCGGCAGCGGCCCCGGAGTTCGCGCCCCTGGCGCCCGCGGGGAGGAGAGGAGCCGCGAGCTGCTGCTGCTGCTGCTGCCGCCGCCGCCGCCCCTGCCTGTCACTGCGCAAAGCAGCCCCGGCAAGCCGCGCTCACAGCGAGGTGACCTGCCGCGGCTGGAGGAGGAGAGAGCGAGCCGGGCGTGTGGGAGGGAGAAGCTGTCGCTTGCCACTCCCCTCCTGCCGTCCAGAGGAGCCGGGCGTCCGCTGCAGCCTCCCCTGGGGCAACAGCCAGGCAGAGCTCCCCGAGCCCGCCCAGCCCAGCAGCCCCCGGGGCACTCCGCCGAGGGGCTGGACGCCAGGGCTCCTCCCCCCACACCTCTAGGAAAGGGTCAAGCCCTGACCTAGCCCCCAGCTCCCCCTCCTGGGGAGAGGCCAGGGCACAGCCAACCAAGTAGATGCACCCTCCTGGCCCAGAGGGGAAGTATTAGTCACGCCTCCCCAGAGGTAAAAATGGGGCATTTTAGGAAAAACAACTCCATTAACTACACTGGACTAGAAAAGTATTTGGGGAGGGGATAGGGGTGTCAACACCTTGCTAATGGAGAAGGGATTTTACAAAGAAAAGAGGCCTGCTGACATACCTGCTGCCCCACATCTAGCATGAATACTTTGCCCCTCAGCATCTCGCAGGCCTGTCATAACATTATCCAATGCTCAGCAAAGATTAATGTGCTATTATGCTGGAAAGTGATAATGGCTGTCATCATGCACACCATCACCATGTGTGTTAGGCTAAATGGAAAGACTAATTCAATGCCATTCATGTGCTGGTAGCTGATGGCAAGAGGAAGCCACCCCCCAAGTCAATGGGTTGCATGGCAAGGCCAATGAGAAGCTAGTTGCAAATACTGGGGTGAGGGGATTGATTGGTTGCACAGGAGTGTGAGAGAGAGCCCTCAGTCAGACAAAAAAGCAGTCGAGCACATGGCCATGAGAGGGAGATACAGATGCTGGTGGCACAGAACCCTCTGGAAAGGCAGGCTTGGAATTTGTGAGTAAGGAAACTGCCTCCTGTTTGTTTCTACTGTGTTTGGGGAAACAGGACCTTATATGTATTCTTGGTAAACAAACACTATTACACCAAAGAAAGACAATACCTGATTTGTAGGCTGCTGGTGTGCCGAGAACACCGTTTGCCATGCAGACCAGTATTGTCTCCTTGTACTTTTCCACTGAAGTGTCAATATCCCATTGTCTGCTCTTATACTCATGGGTGGGAAGGGAAGAGGAGAGAGACAGGGATCATCTTTTCTGTTTGTACAGGTCCTAGTCCACGGCTAGGTCTTCTGAGCACTACAATAATACAAATAATTAATTTCTCCTGCCAGAAATAACCTTGCAAGACCCCAAATATTGGCTAGCCATTTAGGCCAAAGAGGGCAACAATGTTCAGTCCATTTTAACTATATAATTGTCTTACTGTAACAGACAAGACAACTGAAAGAAGCTAGGGGAAGGAGGCTAATCTGTTTAAAATTCTTTTTACACATTTGACAGCAATTTGTCTATACTATATTTTCACATTAGTAGGACCCAGATGTTTCAAAGTGTTATTGGGATAATGGAACTACAGGTGCATAAATCACTGCAGGATTGGGGCCTTACTTAGGTGTGTATAATCAGATGTGCACAGGCAGACTCCTGCGCCATCACAAAGTCCCACGGGACATAGAGCTTTGCTGGATGTTTAGGGTCCACTCAAGCAGAGTGGATTGCAGGATCAGGCCTTATTTTTCAGCATAGCAAAACCTACCTTTATAGCCATCCATTGGAGAGCAGAAAAACCTGGTGTATTTTTTAAAATGAATGGTTTTGAAAAAGTACATACTATTTAAAGAGTGTTTTGTCAAGAAGTAAGGCACCAGGAGGGGAGTCTGCTTTTTTAGACTCCGGTATGTTGATGATCTATCATTTCACAGATAATGATGATCAGATCAGAAGTCTCCAAAGTGTGGGGCATACCTCCCTAGGGGGGCACAGCAGGTCTAGGCCAGCCCGTCTCCCCCGGCCACACCACAGCCACAGCTCCCGGCCTCGCACCTGGCCCCATCCCCAGCATGGCTCAGCATCCAGCTGGAGGCCCTGCTGCAGCTCTGCTACCACCCAGGGCTGAAACTGGGGGAGGAGCTGAGCCACAGCTGGCTGCCAGCCCCCACACTGCATCCCAGTTGCAACTTCACTCCTGCCCCCAGCCTCAGTTCCCAGCCACAACCTCAGCCCCTTTACCCCTGTCTGCCTCCCCCAAGCCATGCCCCATTCTGGAGGAGGGGCACAGGACAGCTGTGCTAGAGGAACATACACCCACTATAAATATTAGTACATAGATTTTTAAGTCCAGAAGGAACCATTGTGATCTAGTATGACCTCCTGCATACCACAGGACTTCCTTCTATTAATTCTTGTTTCAAGTTCAACAACACCCAATTCATAATTTCCTAGAATTCATGTCAACATGGAAACAAAACAAAGCAAAAATACATTTCAGAAAAATCCCAAACTAACCAAAATAAACTTTTTTTATTATTATTATGCAGACAACACAAAGACTTATAGCACCAAAACTTTCAGAGTTGGGAACCATATTTAGGCATCAAAATAAATGGCCTGATTTTCAGGGGTGTGGCATTCGCATTGAGTTCAATTGGAGGGGGGTGGAATGCTAAGCACCATTGAAAATAAGGCTATTTATTGAAGTGCCTTAATATGGATTTAGGTGGCTGGACCACACTCACCACAAGTGATGCCTCCTCCTGGCCACTCTGGGGGATTAGCTGTTTCCAAGTCTGAGGCCCTTTTCAACTGCTTGCTACACACACAGTTGCCACTGTCTCACTCTTTATGAATCAGCATGCTCCCTCTTCCTGAGCTTGTCCTCCAGCCAGGTCATAGGGCATATTTCCCCCTTCAAGTGTTACTAAAGTATTTCCTTAGCCCCAGCTTTCCCATTCACTGCTCCTATGCTGCCAATTCCCTAGTAACTGGTAGGAGAGCCCATGCCCATCCTCTACTTGGGGGTTTAGCTCAGGAACCCTCTCATCAGCAGCTACCATCTGTTCCATTGTGAACCTTACTGTCTTTTCCCTGAGGCTTTCCAAACCTTCTAGCTCCTCTCTTTCTCTAGGTTTGGGAGCCACAGCACTCCCTCCTCTCAGAAAGTAACTGTAGACTACTTGTCTCTCTAGCCCCCCCCACAATACCACCCTTCTCCCAGAAAGGGATTTCTATCTCCTTCCCCTTAGCCTTTATCAGCTCCCTAGCTTTATAGAAGCCCTGCCTGTTCCTACACAGGTGAGCTTCCCTTAATTAGGGCTTTCCTAACAGCCTTAATTCTCCCAGGTTGCAGCTTAATAAGTTAATTGCCCCCCTTAGCCTACATTAACCTTTTCAGGGCGAGTATGGGGAAACACACCCTATCACGTAGCAAAACAAATCTCTGGGGAAGAATAAATGTTAAACAACAATAAGCTAGACTGGTACTGCTCTCTGCACAGAACTGTCACTGCAGAACAGCTCACTAAAGGGAAATCTGCTAAGATAAGACAGATTCTTACCAAACACAAAAAGAGTGACCAGGAAATCCACATGATATTGCACCTTATGTTGTCATTTACACCTGTGCAAAATTGGTATAAAATGCTACCATTCTGATTTGATTGCATCTTATGCTCACTCTGTATGAAGGTAAATAACAGCATAAGGTGATAGAGAATGAGGGACTGTGGGTAGAAACTGAAAAAAACAAAGCACTGTGCAAAGCAAGGTTCTGGTCCTGTGAGCTGTTTATATGGGCAGCACTGTGTACCCACTGATTTCAGTGAGGATCTGGGCAGAAGTCTGCCCACACAGAACTTGCAGGAGCAATACTCAAGAGAGGAACAATTGTACAACAAATATGACATAGGTGAAACTGCAGCTGAGACACTTTTCCTACTACAGTGTATAAAATACAACAGATGATGGGCGGGAAACATTTCCTCAGGTTATCAGAAATGATCAATGACTTTCCATCATAAGACAATGAGGACAAACAATGTGTGAACCCTGGAGAAAGGAAAGAAACAGCAGAGATAGTATCACACTGTAGCAAGCTGCTACCAAATCAGAAATGGGCAAACACAACATGAAGCCCTATCTTGGGTAAATTGTTCCTATTGCTGTCAGATAACTAGTTGAAGATTCTGTTTCCTTTACATTTTGGTAACATTTATATAACTTGTCATGCCAATAAGGTATTATCAAAGTGAAGTGGACTGAACTGACTGTCTTCCTACTAGTTGGAGACATGAAACATGTATAAACCTACTCATCCAGAAAATGCAAGGTCTATCTCCAGAGTAGTTTCACATCTTGACTCTCCATGAGAAAAGAAGTCAGTGCTTAAAAAATCCCACAAAGTAACTAGAACTCCACTATGGTCTCTCTTCCAATAACAGTTACCCCAGTGTTATTATTTATACCTATACAAAATGGATGTAGAACCAAATATGAAAGGTGGAGTTTTACCCCCACTTTACGCTCACTTTGCATAGGTGAAAATGACTCCACAGAGTGTAGCTACTGGAGAATCTGGTCCAGTGGATAAAATTATTTTCTCAATGACATTAGTGCGTACACTATTGAATTCAAGAGGAGAAGGTGCAAAGGCCATTCTTTTTATTAGGTCAATACATACATTAGAAATACACAAGCTTTCTGGACAAAATCTCAACTAACAGGCCTTAAATGTTTAGTTTCAGCCAAAAAAAAAAGTCACACAACTCTGTTTTATCACAAAAGGCAAAGTATTTCTAATATCTTTCAGTAACACTTTCATGGGGCACAGGGTGAATGGCCAGGCCAACAGTTAGCATACTGTCTAAAACAATAGCGTCATCAGAAAAGCTGCAATGCAAACTGTACGTGGTTCCCTACTTACTAATAAGAATTTGCTATTCCTTTTTTCATTCACAAGTATGATTTTCATGCAAGGTTTGTGTGATGCCAGAATAGATTATTTCAATGCGATGATCTGAGGCCCACTAGAAATACCAAAATATTAGGAACAAATAGACTTCACCATCAGCAGTCTCTAGTCTATCTTTCTCGACTCCAAAAGAAAATTCATTTTAAAAATTCAGATTGTCTGAGATGCAATCTGAGTAACATTTTGGCACTTTTCACTTTGTTCTATGTTTTGGGCCCCTGGTTTTGCA